AAGGATCCAGCCCTGCTTTACTGTTTTTAGCAGCATGAAAACCTCGGGTGTTTATCTTCTGTCCGTCACGTTTCCTTCCATGTCTTGACGCCAAAAGAATCCGTTCGATGCATCAATGTTTGCTCATAAGTATTCAGGGGCGTCTCAGTTTCCGGTGTTGGAGACCATAGCGAGAATCACGAAAATAATGTCGGTACTGTATCGCATTTCCTGTAATTTTTGATGCTGTTACCGATCAGCGATGATCAAATCGGCGACTCCGTGATTTTTTAAAGCCCGCATTAACTCCTGGTAACATACTTCCATCTCCAGGTCCACAGTTAAATGCTTGCGTAATATTCGGGCTTAGATTCTGCCAGCAATATTGCCAACGGAGATTTGCCTTGTTCTTCTGTTTTTCTATGGTTGCGTCCCTTCCGGGTTTGTCCTTCTCGTCACATATCTTAAAGCATCGAGGTTAGCCTGCTCGTGAGATGAGGACCATCGTATTTGTGGATTTCGGCTGGAATTTAGTCCGCACACAGAGATACTTCATCGTACATTTATTCTGGTCGATTGAGGTTGGCATTGTTTTTCACCTGATGGAACCCATTAAAGGTGTCCTCACGGATTGTAGATAGGCGCCTGAGGACGCAGCTAAAGTGCACGGGCCCACCGCACCCGAATTTAAAAGTTCTCATTGGTAGGACGGTTCCATCCGAGCTGAAGAACGGCACACGACAATTCGACCGGAGATACGCGCCGTGTGCCCCACTGCATGGTGGACTCGCGGATTGTGACTTGTGCGTGAGAGTTGCGCTTTATCTACCACAATGTCTCGTGCCTCGCCCACCTTATCCCGGTGTCAAGAGAGAGTCAAGAAGACCAGAGGGGGCATCGGGAGCAGTGACTGACAAAGACAAAAAACTCGTCTACGCGCGCCACACACACGCCCGATGAACCAGGCTTTCAAAAGGTCGGAGAGGAAGTATCAGCCTGGGTCCAAACTGAAGGGGGAGATGTCGTAGATAGGAGGTGCCATTGCGGCCTGACCCTCCGTCCGGAGAGGAGAACCGAATTATATCTTCAGTTGGCAGCCTTCGAAGCCACGGCAGTTTGCGCAGCATGACATATTCAAGCGTGTCAGCATATATATATATAGTGAGAAATATGTGCTGAGTATTTTAGGAATGCAGTCGCCAAAGCCAACCTCATACTCTCTTCACTTTTCCAAGCACCAGTCCGCTGTCCAAGCTGGTCGGTCATGTGATGCGGGGACTAGGCATACAGTGAGGAACCGATCTCATGGCATGTTGACAGAAATTCTGAAATGCGTTTTCGATTAGGAAGGAGTACTTAGACGCGGTGGTAATACTGATTATTTTGCGGCATAATCCTATAATATTTCGGACTCGGCAGGATGCCAGCTTTTGAAAACACTGCTTTTCAATCTCCTCTAGAAACAGTGCTCGTTAAAAAATGACTACTTAACTAGTATGCATTTGCCGCCTGATTTTCGGTTATCTTGCAAATTCAAATATATATTTTATAGAAACTACGAACAAAAATATGCTTTCTTTCAATCGTTCGATAGAAAATCACGCCAACTTTATATTTTATGCTCTCTTGAAAATGAGTATAATAAGGTCTTAAAAAGTTTAGTATAGTGAGATTTTTTAAGACCGCACAATTTCCACTCATATAGCATCGTACCTGTCCGTTTATCATCGCTTCTCATGAAATGTAAGCCACATCCCGCATCCATAGCAGAATCTTATGCACTCGATAGGATATTTTTTAAAAGCATAGAAGAATATGCGGTTTTCTGTACACGGAACGCATGCACCTCGCAGACCGAAATTACTAAGCGCTAATTCGCCGACTGACCAGGTTCCAAATTATTCGGCGATTAGAAAATTTTTTTAAACCTAATTATTCTCATTCTTTGAGTACAAAATATAAAGATGACGTGATTTTCTATCGAACGATTGAAAGAAAGCATATTTTTGTTCGTAGTTTCTGTAAAATATATATTTGGATTTGCAAGATTTTCGAAAATCAGGCAACAAATGCATACTAGTTAAGTAGTCGTTTTTAACGAGCACAGTTTCTACAGGAGATTGAAAAGCAGTGTATTCAAAAGCGGGCATCTTGCCAAGTCCGAAAAATTATATGATTATGCCGCAAAATAATCAGTATTAAAACCGCGTATAAGTAAGCTTTCCTAATCAAAAACGTATTTCAGAATTTCAGCCAACAGTTCATGAGATCGGTCACTCACTGTAGGTGGCTTGTGCGACACGAGTCTGCGCCTAGGCACGGCCCAATAACGCGTTCTGTATCCTTATCTAGGCCCCGAGTTGGCCAAAAGAAACCTCCGCGTGGCTCGTTGTAGGGAACACAAGGTAGATGTCAGCAACACCCGGTATTCCCAGCCGGTCATCCACACAATTACCAACCGTGCCCAGCGAAACCTAGCTTCGGTGACCGGATGATACCCCGTGCTTTCTATATGATACTGTCGCTGACATCAACGGCGCAATTCCAAAGGGCCAGGAGCAATAGACTCTCTTCATGAGCGCAAAGAAGTTCTTCTTTTTGCCGTGGTCTGCGTATCCATGGGTTTCAGGCATCTTGATAGTCATTCAATTGCATCTACCACGGTCTCTGTTGTCGTGGGCGACGGCACTGTAGAGATGGGTCTATATGGTAGGTTGCATTTTGGACCACGTGACTGGTTTGAGCTAGTGCTTTCTCCTGAGTCCAGCTTGTGTATTTCTTAACCACATTTATCACGCTGGATTCGATATTTTCAGTGTGTAGATCCGATGACATGAACGTAGATGCGCCCCACGGACCCCGCAAACTGTGTTCAACCTCTACTGGTGGCCTGAGCTAGTGTCCATTTATTTGGAGACTCGGAGTCTGCGTCCAGACAGACCTAGTGTTGCGGTATTTAAGTTCTTTGCACATTCTTCCCCTGAAGAAGCCTTTGCGGTTGGATTAACAGCCACGTTTTCGAGATAACTAGACGGTGTTTGAAAACAAATGTGCTCTTTAATAAAGCAACAAGGTGGGTTGCACAAATTTCCAATGCTATTTCCCCAGGAAAACCTTCCAAAAACGGTGAATGCCTTGCGTCTGCGTCAAAGAGCTTCCGCTCATCCAGTTTACTCTTCTCCGTAATCAAAATTACAACCGCCGAGGCTGTCTTGGCGGCTGGACTTGCAGTCACACTTTAGAGACGAGAAGGCAGTGATCTGGAACTCGGTACGGCGCTCGACCGCTGTCACGAACACGTTAAGGTGGTTTGGCGGTTGGTTGTGACACGATCGAGGGTGTATCTATGGTTTTCCTACGTCCTGGGAGCCCTAATCGACCGACATCGATGCAGTAATCAGCTTTTTGCTTTTTGGGCTTGAGCAACTCAAGGCCTCTGCGACGATGCAAATGTACTTTATCCGCAACACGCCCACCTGAAGTAATCTATTTGGGCTCATTTGCGTCCAGGGTGGTCACGGCCGTTCATATCTCATCCGAACACACCACCCCCGGGTAGTGAAATACGCACTACTAGACACCAGTAATCCAGCTCCGATGCATATAGATATACAAGCGTCTAACACAGAAGTTTCGCTCTCCCCTCTCTAAATTAACAGCAGCAATACACGTCCTGGCTTCGCCAGGTCCCGCCTACCAGGGTGGAGGTTTCTTTTGCTGCAAATTCGACCGTCGATTTCGGCAGCATCTACCGTGTACTCCACAGCAGAATGGAAACACGCACGGTGAATTTCACGTGAATTAGTTCAGAGTAATAATAGACTTTCACTGCATCTGCTGCACTCTCGCCGCCTTCCCCATATGGGCTCGGTGTCAGGACAGAGTCAAGAAGAGCGGACGCTACCGGAGCCGCCGATAAGCGTGCCGACTCGGATCCCACGGAGTGGGAGTGTCGGCAGCCTTGCGCTGCATCTACCACACTCTCTCCTCCTCCTCCGCCTGAGTCCGGTGTCAAGACAGAGTCAAGAAGACCGCAGACGAGGGAGGCCGCAGGTGGATGGCTCGCACGAGTCCTCACCTTGGCGCTCCACCCCACCCCCTGGTCCACACAATAAATAACCGGGTTTTTGACCAACACAGCAGAGAGTGGAAACTGGCACGGCCGAAGCCCCACCTAAGCGTGCCGCCATCGCCAGGCTCGGATCCCACGCAGGGGGAGTGTCAAAAAGGCTACATTAAGAAAGAGCCTGAATCTCATTCCACCGATCCCTCATTCCGCGCAAACGCACACTGGAGCTGACTGTGAGGTCGGATTTATCTCCATTAATTGGCAATCTTCCAAGCCATGGTTTCTAGCTCACCGTGATGGCTTCAAGCGCGTCAGCTTGTTTATAGTGAGGAAAATGCACTGAGGCGTCGAGTTCACTTTCTCTCTTCCCACGCCTAGGCATCAGTCAACTGTCCGAGCCGGTGAGATGTTTGATGTCGAACGGGGGCGCAGTGGCTGACATAGTTAGAGAGCCCGTTTTCGCGCGCCACATATGCGACCTAGTCCCCCAAACGCATGCACCAAGCGGATGAAGTGTCGGTTTCACTCGTAGCCAGCACTGGGGCTGGCAGTGAACGCGACCGGCAGAGCTGAATGCCTTATCTTAGACTTTACTATCCGGTCTGCGAGTTCTCTTCGCCGATCCATGATGATAAACAACCAAAATAGTCATTTTAAATCGCCATACCTCTAATAAACGTCCGGGCACACTCTTCTTCGGTCAGAATACATATTAATCAGATTTGCTCCTCCGCCTTCTTCCGTCAAGAAAAAAACACCCCCCAGACTACCCGAAGAATTGATCGCAATCGGTGCAAAGTTCCGTCTGGCTTGTATATTCGTACCGTGATCTGGCTTATAAAATTAGTCAATCTGTTTGCCAGTGCCCGTGCGCTACCGTGCTTGTACCAATCAAATATCGCCAAGTACCGCCAATCAGAAGAGGACAGGGCAAAACGTAGAGCGGTATCGGTTATTGTATAGGAAAATGACAAACAGGACAATTCCGCATTCGTGTGATTTCCGTCTCGTAGGCGCTGTGCTTACAGGTAGGGCACATCCAGAATTGGTAGTCTGTCACTGGTTGGCCCGTCACCGCGCAGATTGGTATTTTCGTCTCACTAGATTGAAAAAAGGGGGAATATCATAAAAATTACTTTGGTGCCTAATTCTTATCAGGGAATAACTGTCCACATGACCATACGAGGCGAAATTTTTTACCCAGAACTGTTCCTGTGGCTAAAATGCGCATCCAAAATAAGTGGAAATTTGGCATTTATAAACAAACCAGCTCAGAATCGTCTGAAAGCCCCATGTGGGACAGGGTAATCGTCATTTTCAATGCCATCTGTTTTCCTAGCATGCACCAGATGAAAAGGGTGAATCCACCAGTCTCAGACCTGAACCTCTAGGAAATATATGCTCGATCTAACATCCGTAAAGTCATGGCAGCAAGGCACGTACGTGAAGACTGTTCACGTCGTTAAGGCTATAGCTGCTTCAGACATCGGTGCACGAGCCTGGAACAAAGTTCCTGGGGCAAGATCTAGTTGACTGGACAAGGCGATCTCTGTGTTGGAAGCCCATTAATGTTCTCACTACGTTCGGATAACATTGCTACTGAATTTCCAGCCGTGAATAGTACATGGTTCTTCCACTGAAGTTGATGAAGTTCCCCTCAAATACTTGAGTGAACAAGAGGCCTTATCCCAAGCCCTATAGTTCAGGCTCACGCGTCAACTTCCGACGGAAATTTAATGTCAGCATTGCAAAAAATGAACTGGACATTTGATTTTACATGGAGGACCCTGGGAGATCCAGTGGCAAGCCGAACTCCTCATCACCACCCAGCATGCGACACTTGCAGTTTATTCCGTCCGTCTGAATAAAAGGCACTCTTCTTAGAACACGATCCCTAAACTCTCGACCGAGCCGCATAGGGCCTCAGCCTGTCTACCAGTCTCGTCGTTCATTAAAACTCCCCTCCGCCGGGATGCCGGTTGCTAATGCGTGCGGTTGTTTATTCACAGAACGTCAGCGACAGATGCCCGACCAATCAGAGGCCAGAGGCACTCGCGCTTCTGAAAGTGTGGAAAGGCGCGACTGCGGTCCAAACGTTTCTGCCCGCAAATGATTTTCGTTTGGTAATTCGCAAATGAGAAAGGGGGGAGATAATTTCAAAGCCAGCTAGAAGTATCAACGCCTATCGGACAGAGAAAAAGAACATGCAGTAACAATATTTTCTCCATAATTTGCTGCTTAACAACTCGTTAGGGGGAAGCTACATACGCGGATGACCACCTGAACGAAAATCAATATTCCGTTTGACATGTGAGTAATCAAGCCAGCAAGGCGTAAATTGACCAATGACAGTGGCCTGTGACGTCAGCTTGTATAGGAGAGAGTCTGGGTTAATTTCAAAAGACAAACCCGCAAGTAAATGCTCAGAGTGCATTAGATTGAATAGGCGGACGTTAAGATGTGGTTATGTAACCTCACCTGATTAAAACAATACAGTTGGGGTTAGGGTTACGGTTAGGGATTAGGACGACTCTTTCTCAACCCCTCAAAATAAAACCGGGCATTCCTAATGGCTTTTCTTTTGCATACCACTACAGTGCGTGACCGATCTCATGAAATGTCGGCCAAAATTCTGGAATGCGTTTCCGATTAGGAAGGACTACTTAAGCGGGGTTTTTATACTGATTATCATGCAGCATAAGCCTATAACATTTCGGACTCGCCAGGATGTCGGCTTTTGAATGCTCCTCTAATTAACCTCCTGCAGAAACCATACTCGGCAAAAAATGATTACTTAAGTAGCATGCATTTTCCTATTGATCTTCGACAGTCTTATAAATTCAAATATATTTTACAGAAAACATGCACAAAAATATGCTTTCTTTTTCTCATTTGGTAGAAAATCACATTGTCTTCATATTTTATGCCCAAAAAGGTGTATATTTTGGTTTTAAAAAAGTTTCTAATTATGAGATTCTTAAGACCGTGCGATGTTCATGCATGCAAGACCGCACGTGACCGTTTACTAATGCTCCTCATGAAATTCACGACACAGTCCGGATCCATTGCAAAATTTCATGAACACTATGTGGTATCTTCTTAAAGGCATAGAGGAATATATGATTTTCCTTACGCGAAAAGCATGCACCTTGTAGGCTGAAATTTCTAAACGCTGATGCTATGACAGATTAGGCTGAATATTATTCCTGAATTGGGAAACTACTTTCAAAATTAAATATACACTTTATTTGGGCATAAAATATGAAAAAAATGTGATTTTCTACCAAATGAGAAAAAGAAAGCATATTTTGAGCATGTTTTTTATAAAATATATTTGAATTTATAAGACCGTCGAAAATCAATAGGAAAAATGCATGCTACTTATGTAATCATTTTTTGCCGAGTATGGTTTCTGCAGGAGGTTAATTAGAGGGGCATTCAAAAGCCGACATCCTGGCGAGTCCGAAATGTTATAGGCTTATGCTGCATGATAATCAGTATAACAACCCCCCTTAAGTAGTCCTTCCTAATCGGAAACGCATTCCAGAATTTTGGCCAACATTTCATGAGATCGGTCACGCACTGTACTTGATCTCGTCGCCCGCGCGGTCTACAGCCCCACCTGTAAAAACCCCTATTGCCACCGGGCTCGTTTTACATGCGGCTGGGGTTTGTTTACTTCAGGTGGGACTACATAACTACATCTGACCAAGCAGACTTCCACCCGCCTTGCGTGGACCCAGAACTGAGCGCTTTGCAAAGAGGCGGGCAGTGTGTCTCAGCAAAACGACTGCATTTGATGCGCTCGCTCAGTAGTCACTAACTGCATCCCCAGGGTGTCTGCATATTGCCGAAGGTTCGTAGTCCCCATTTAGCCAACAAGTTAATAAACTAAGGTCTTTTCCAATGTCTCTATCAACTTACTAGTCCTCCTTCGAACTGAAGATAAGGCTGCATTGACTCATTGTTAAAGTGCTCTCTATGCCAACTATCTCCGATGAGAGATCTGAGAGCAGCACGTACGTAGCACACGTAGGCGTGGATCCGACCTCTTCAGTCGCTGCGCTCACGCCTGTATCCAGTCAGCAGAGAAAGACGAGCGTGAGACGAGAGAGCAAAACACAGTTCGCGTGGGGCCCTATTACTGTACGCCCGACTCGTGCGTAGGTCACTACCCGGACCTCAAGACAATGGTAGTCCACGCAGTTTGCGGCGGACGGACTATGCATTGTCACACTTAGTTTCCGGATAAGCATTTCTTCTTCGAAAGTTGTCGTCTTTTTTACTATCGCACCTTGGCCGAATTCGGTCTGTTCTTGACCTCTGCCGCCAATTCGGGGGTTGTCTGCGTTGGAAGGCCAGTGAAGCGGTGTGTGAACATTCCTGTGTAAACAGATATCCGGTGTACGCCGGCAGGGAGGACCGGTAGAGATGGTACGCAAACAAACATCATCCTGAGTTAGTGCTCATGACCCATCTGATAGACATTCTCTGAAGATCACATACGTTGTTTCCGTGTGCATGCTTGTATCTCTGATTCCAGATAATAGTTAGAGTTATGATTAATCTCATTAAGGTATAATAAGCCCGAAACAGTTCTGGTGAGACAGGACAGGCAGCCCATTGGTGTGTAAGGGAGTGGTCCCGAAGTCATGACAAGATTCTGAGTGAGGGGAGAGGGGAGGGGAGAGTTTGCGGGACAACTACGGCTCCTTGTGCTGGAAGGGCAGGCGGGTGGATGGTGGATCAGTTGGACTGCCGGTGGCAGTATTCGCGGTTGTTGATGTGCGAATAGGGCAGGGGTCAGTCATTCATGAACGCACACCGTCGTAATGGGCATGCAGGTGAACATGGCGGTTGATACTACCCGCATTGGACCACCAAGCCTCGAGAAATTCCCTCGCTCGCTTTGTATTAGCCATGGCGACGACCTCAATGCCATCCCAATTGAATCGGTGATTGTACTCGAGTCCATAGGCAAGGGCGAGGGACAGGAGGTCTCGTCGACGGATAGCTAATTTGTGTTCATTTACGCTGGTGCCCAGGCGTCGACCCGTATGACCAACATACACGCAGGAGACATCTGCGCTCAGGAGGCGACAAAATACATTCTTTGTTGCCCTTCGAGGATGGGATCTCTGACTTGAGATAGTGCTGCGCGTAGTGAGGATGGCGATTTGTGGGCAACGTGAACGCCCAGGCGATTTGAACGCTGGGAGATTATTTCAGAAGTTCCTCGTATATATGGCAGGAAGTAGAATTTTCGTGCCACAATATTTCCGTTGGGTGTGGTGTCTTGCGACTGTGCCTATTGCCTGAGGCAACCAAGCTGATCGGATATCCGCTAGATCGAAATAACCGCTACAGGTGAGCAAGCTCTTTCTTGAGGAGGTCGTTGATGTTGCAATAACGGTAGGCCCGATGCAACAGAGTTCAGACACAGTCTCCTTTTTGGACTTCAGGGTGGTTGCTTGCATAGTTGAGGATAATCTCAGAATTATATTCTCTCCGATAGATGCTTGTTGCGAGGCTACCATTGGTCAACTTTTGTATCCTCACTTCCAGAAACGGCAAACAGTATCCAATTGCCTCTTCACGGGTAAACTGTACGGTTGAGAAGACATTATTCAGTCTCTGATGCAACCGTTCGACTTTGTAGTTCTTTATTGCGACAAAGGTGTCATTTACTCAGCAAAGTCACATTCTGGGCTGGATAATTTGACAAACTTCCTCTTCTATTCGCTACAACACTGGTTCGGCGTTCAGTCCTGAAATTGGCAAACCCATCGGGTTTCCCTCTGCATGGTTGTAGTACTTATTGCCGTATTGGCAATAGTTCCTAAAGCAGGGTTTGAGCAGTTCTATAACCTGCTGAGTTGAGATCTCAATAGGATCATTTTGTAACTTTGGGCTATGCATCCGACTGCCAAATCGTGTGGTATGTGAGAAAGCAAGGCAACGATGTCAAAAGACAGGAGGCATTCATCAGTACATACTTTGAGGCCTTGGATCCCGTGGAGGAATGCGCGAGAGTTGTTAATGGTGCAGTCCGATCCCTGAGTAAGCGACTTAGTTTTACTGTAAGTAGGTGGTCCGATGAGTGGCACTATAGTCCTCAGCAGAGCATCCACATTGTGCACTTTTGGAAGGTCATACGCGTGTGTTATTTGGGGACCACTGAGTGTCATCATTCTATACCGATTCCGAATGCATACCACCTCTGATCTCCAACGCATATTTGTGCGTCAAACGTCTATTCTTACCAGACGTTGGGAGAAATTCGCACAGAGACAGACGATAACTTTTGAACAGTTGACCTTCCTCCATCGCTCTCACGATCACGGTGAGTTGCCGAAGTCTCTTCGTCTAAAACCGACGTTGCCAAATAAGGCTGGGAGATTTCTTTCGTGCAAAAACAGATATCGCATTTTGAATGCTATAATATATGACGTCTACAATTGTCTTCGCAGATTCGAAGCAAAACTTGGTGAGCGCCCGTCCGTAATAATTGATATTCCCGATCACAACCGAGAGGACAATGGGTCCGTGGCTTAGTGGTAGAGCGTCAAACTCCATGACCACACTAATCATTTCCATGTTGAAATTAATGCAGACAGCCTTAGCTATCATCGTGAGAACTGGCAGCTGATTCGCAAAAATTAACCCTAAGCGCATCAACCACCGATTGTCTTGTCAAACGATGCTATTAACTAATTGAAGCTTCTGCAGCCACGCAAACGTGCGGTTGACTTTTCCGGCGGCGTGTACCACTTTGTGGAGTAGTTTCGCAACCTCAAATGGGCTCGGGAATGTGCCGATGAGACGCCGTTCGAGGGGCGCGCGCTTACGACGCACGTGCGTACGCGAGCGTGACTCAGCCGCCGCATTTATTTTCAACCAATCAGGTGTTAGCTCTCCCTCCCCGATATCGTGTGAGCAACAGCTCAGGTTGACTGTGCCCCGTAGGTCGGTAGATGGAGAGTAAGCAAACACCTATATGTCGAACAGCAAATCATCTAAAAAACTACTATGAGCGAGCTTCGCCAACCAAAGTAACAAACAGCCAGAACAACAGGCCAGAAATGATCAACAGAACAGTCAGCGCTTTCTTAATTGTGAAAAAAATTGAACAAATTATCCCACGGGCAGTGCGCGGCATCAAGCTGCCATCATATTTTATGGCTTTTAATTATCAAGCAGTGAAGACAGGTCTCGGTTAAAGACGGGAAGTGAGAAAACGCGTGCAATCAGAAAATGTGCGCCGCCACATGGGTCCCAGCCGCCGACACTAGACTGAACAGTACGTCCGCTTCCTTGAATCCGAAACAAAAAAATATCGCATAACCGCGAAGCGCGGCCGTTGCAACGCCAAAGGGACAAATCCAACAAAAAATTAGGTCTGTGAGTCGACTGCTGTCCGGCGGTGCTCGAGTTCTAGCCGTTACTTTCCTCGTTTATCACTGCTCTGACCAGGAAATATTCTGTTTTTTTTTGAAATATCACAGACTGTAGCAAAACTTGGCAAAGTAGGGAGCACAGCCTTCGGTTATGCCTACCATTTACATTCTTGTTGAATTTATACTTCTTTGTTAATTGCACTTTCGCGAAAAACGTAGAAAACTGTTATAGGGAAATAAGTAGAAACAGTATAGCGTATAATAGAATCCACAGAGGGCATTGCACACCATTTATACGTAAAACCGCGCGGATAAAGCGTAATATAACCAGCCCGTGGAAATTAACCCCTAGACCTCACTGGTTCCCGTGAATGCGGCAACTCTAAACGCCAGGCCAACTTCATTGCTAAATGCTGGCCATCATGCATGCAAGAACGGTACCGGCAGAACCAACCACATAATGTAATTTAATATTAAAGCTCACATATCCAAACTCCCCCCGAATGCGACGTCTTGCCGGGGTAGTTATTAACTCTCTATTACAACTCATCCTTTATCTATCCGTATGAACTTTAGTTGCCTCCAGACCCACAAATCGGGAGACTGAATCCGCATCTCGCTGATTTAACTGCAAGACATATACGACAAACAGGCAACCATCAATGGCGCGTGGCAGTGGTGTTCATTGATCTCGTTTGACCTAGGGACAGAAGTGAGGGCGTGCTCTTTAGCAATGAATCATCAGTTCAGAGTCCCCAACCTGGGGTGGGGGTAATCTGAGCTGACGACGGCGAACAGTTTTTTGATTCTTTAGTTTGTAATTGATCAGATGATTTTTGATTGTTCGACTCTGTGCGACCGTCTGCAAGTACCGTAGACTGGAACCGCGAGGCAAAATGAACCGTCCGTACTCTGTCCTACTATCAGGTTTGAGTGACAAAGGTCACCTGCGCACGGCTTTGAAAAGTAGCCATCGCAGCTGATAAACAGCAAGTCCGTGGCATGACTGGCAGATTGTTCAGCTCAATTATCGACCGTGTCGCGACCCCCATCACCAGTTCTGACTAATGACGGCAACCAAGCCAGAAATGGCCTTCTGCTCCATCTCAGTCATTTGGGAGCTTTTAGAGCTCTCCTTCGCCTTGACGGGTCATTTTCAATTTTAAGTGACAACTTGAAGCAATATTTCCCAAAATGAATTTAAAGCAGGCATGGACAGCAGTTGAGCACCTGCCTAAATGCAGGAGAATAAGATTCCACGGTCTGTATTACAAAACATCTCCTTGATAGTGGCCATTCGGTTGACCCTAAAACGTTTTTCCGAGTATTAGTTCGAGCACGAACTACTCGGTTATTACGCTACCTGGAGGCAACCTACATACGGCGGGAGTAACCCGACCTGTGTAAACAGTTAGACCACGTGGTCAACCTCAGCTTACCCTGGTAGACCTAAGCCTCTTTTGATTTTCGAAATTCCTTCGCATCTTTACTTCCCCATTTTCTTTCCTATGTTGCGTTTTGAAGTTAATATTTTATTTATTAGTCTACGCGCAGTATACGATGACCTTGCTGTTTTATATTGATTTTCTCTGTCGAAGTTCAAACCTCTGTACCTGTCTCACTTGGTATTTGTGTTATGCAACGACAGGCTGCAGTTGAGAAGCCGTCGCGAAATTTACTGGCACCAATACATTCTGCTGTCCATGCTCGCTTTAAGTGACAACATCACAGAAAATAGACTTTTGCGTCCTTACAAAATTCTTCTTTATGTGGAGAACAAGTAGGGATAGTCTATACGTTGAGAAAACAGAACTTGAGCCCACCTTTCAAGCATTGCGTCCAATTCCATTGAACTGGAAGATTTCACCTGATTCTTTGGCGGATACCTTAACAAAGAAAATAATAAAGGTGAAAAAGTGGAATACTATGACCAAACTGCATTAAAACCCCTCATGGGTCATTATAAGTATTCACGTTTCGGATCTAGAACCCAAAACCATGGTCATATAGTAGATCAGTCAATTCATGCTTTTCCTCCATACGGTAAACCGCGTACATACTGGAGTACGAACACGGCTGTATGGGAAGCGTTTGGTATCGGCTCCTGGGTGGTTATATCGAAGTGCGATGATCGACAACCCGAGGACCACCAAAACAAAAGTCAAGGGGAGACATAATTATTAGAATTTTTACTGAGGCTGCAAGTTGCACACGCGGCCCAGTCAGCAGTGTCAGTAGGTTTTCTCACCAGCCTTGTCGGCTGTCTAAGCTGTCCGCCCAGGCGCAAAGTTGTGTATGTACCCGAGCTTTGTGCGGCTGTGACCAATCAGTAAGGACAAAAGTAAAGACCGGCGTCAGGGCGTCGACAAACCGAGGCCTGGGTCACACGCGCGCGAGCAGTGGTTGGCAGGTCTGCTAAGCGGGCCGAAGGCCGCGTAGATAAATCTTCTGTACTAATGGAATAAGGCATCAACATTATGTCGCGTAGGTCTATTCGACACCACTCTTTTCCCCGTATTTGTCTGTTCCCTGGTAGATTCACATACGATAACAATGCTGGGTCAGATCTTAGTATGCAGCCGTCCATGAAGCAACCTAGCCCTAACTGCCTGTAATACGGGATTGGTGGCAAAGGGGATTTTACGGGTGGGACAATCGAACAAGTCAGTGGGATAGCTGTGAAGAAAATGAGTTAATGAAGTGTGCAATAAAACTTTAAATGGGCTGAGAAGGAGGCGCCAATGATGAAAATATGGTTGGGGATCCAACCAACCAACCGCCAGTGACAACGCGTGGCCAACATCATTAGACATGCTGTGCAGCGGCACATGATGGAGATTACACTTCCGAACTACTGATTTGTTTTCGGTAAGCGAGATTATGCTGAAATAGCATACCTGCACATTGCTGAACCGGAAAATGACAGTCTTGCATTCGAGTTTTGAGATATGGTTAGTCTTAGGGTTTGGGTTAGTGCTGGGGTTAGGCTTAGGGGTAGGGTAAGGGTAAGGGATAGGATTGCCCTCACTCTAACCCAAACCGCAACTGTTACCCTAACATTGGCCATAACCCCTAACCTCTACACCCTAACACTCGCCCTAAATCTAACCCCTAACCCCAGCCCCTACCCCTATCCCTAGCCACTAATCCTAACCCTAGCACTAACCATAACCCCTACTCCTAAATCATAACCTCCAAAACTAACCTCTTACCCTAATCCCAAACCCTAACCCCTAGTCCTAACACCTAACACTAACCCCCTAACGCTAACCCTAACCCCTTACCCCACCCTAACGCCTAACACTAACCATCAACCCCTAACCCAGACAACTCGAAGGAGGAAAAGACAAACACCAGATCAACGTAATTACCCCAACTCAAAGTAAATCAGCAGTTTAACAGTATTATTTTCCGTATGTACGGCTGCACAATCAGATCCAAGTACTGCAATCTGGCTTTGAATTAGTCCCAAGAAGGAACATATTCTAAGAGTTCGATTGGAAGTGGTGTGTGGCGGCCCACCCTGATTGCAGGACACGAAGGGTGGCGGGAATACAGTGTCGCAACACTTAGAATTGTCTCCTTCCCCACCAGCCTGTCTTACGGGCGCACTACTACTACTACTACTACTTCTACTACTACCACTAATACTACTACTACTACTACTACTACTACTACCACCACCACTACTACTGCTACTATTACCACTACTACCGCTGTTACTACTAATACTACTACCACTGGCGGGAAAACAGTGTCGCAACACTGAAGAAAACTTTTCCCCCCGTCTACCACCACTGATACGGCGAACACTACTAATAATCCTACTATTAGTACTACTATTACTACCACCGCCACCACGGCTGCCAATGCTACTCTACCAACGCTTACAGTATGGGTAACTAACTGCAATAATACTAGCATCAGTAACGGAGTGTTGCGACACTGGTATCCAACCCGAAGGGTTTTTCGAACCAACAACAGAGATAAGGGAACATTTACATGCCAATAAGTTGCATTAAATAGGGCGATGGATGAGATTACTTCTCAAGTTCGTTAGAACGCAAAAGGACAGCCTTTTTCATTTCAAAGTAAAAGCGTCTTACCTGCTGAAAATATTGACAGCGAGATTCTCCAATTCTTCTCTTTCGGCCGGACTCCAGTTTGGCAAGTTCTTGAGCTTCAGGAAGGCCTTCGAGGCCGTAGCAAAGGCTCGGGCCGACAAGGCGCAAAGAGCTGAAAGGGACAAGATGTGAGAGCGAGGCATGACTCACCAATGATGGAGTAGACCTTCTGTGGTTCGATTATGTCATCCAGGTCTCTCAGAAGCAGTGCTGTCCTCAGGGCATGTTCGTAATGCCCTGAGTAGAGTTGGTTCTGACAGAGCATGAGAAAGTGGTAGGCCTCTGCGCCGCGCCAGGGTTGGTCGACCAGGCGAGTCACCTCGTAAGTGCTGAGCAGGAGACGTTTCGCCAGCGGACATGTCACCTTCTTACGCTTCCGTCCGCTGTTCTGTTTTGTCTTCTGCCTCCTTCCGCCGGATTCGGCGACAGTCTTGCAGCTACCGAGGTCACCTCGGCCGCCGTCTTCGCCGAATTCCTCCATGAAGAGGGTTTTCTGTCCGTTCTGCGCAACCCCCTTCTCCGCATCCTCCTCCTCATCTTCTTCCGTCGCGTCCCCTTCACCCTCTTCCTCCTCATCCACAGTCTGATTGAGCAGTGATTCAAGAATCGTGGTAGACTGAAAGCAAAAAGAGAGAGAGGGGAGTGGAGGGGGATTGTTTCCCGGCCAAGCATAGGGGAGGGAGCAGCCGGCAAAATATTAAACGAACCTCCTGGCATCGGCCATCACCCAGCCTATTCTCCTGCTCATATCTCACCCGATCGTGGTGTTTCTCTACCAGCAGGCCAACCAGGACGTAAATCTCCTTCACTTTGCGCAGGGAACATCCCGCTTTCGCCGCTGACTGGGCCTCCTGAAAGAAGCATATGAGGACCATCAAATGATATCTAGTAATATGAACATTAACTCCAACCAACGTGCAGAAAAAGATAAGGAACAGTTCGTGTGATGACAGGAGAAACACAGATAAAGGTTCGGGTTAGATGTAGTTATGTAGCCCCACCTGAAGTAAACAAACCGCAGCCACCTGTAATACGGGACTGGTGGTAATAGGGATTTTTACAGGTGGGGCCGGAGTACGCACAGGCGACGACGTCAAGTAATTATATTTAAAGAAAAAGCTATTGGGAGTGCGCGGTTGTGCTTTGAGTGGTGGAGAAATCGTCACCTTGCCCCTAACCCTTTCCCCAACCCCAACAGTATTGTGCCCAACAGGTGGGGCTACATAAGCACAGTTTTCCAAGGTTCGGCTTAGACTCATGGGTAGCAGTACGTTCCAGTCACCTTTTATTTTGGTAGACCACCTGCCGAACTATGGGCTTGGTCTGAGTTAATTTACTTTTCAATGTGAAATTGCCCAATCTTGTTTCTGACATCGGAACAAGGTAACAGCGTAGTCTGTATGCGATGGCTAAGGCCTTTTCACATGATGGCATCCATCCGCTGGCCATACCTGTGCAGTGTGGAAGTTGTTCGCTATGCTCTGTACACGATCCATCATTCTCACAGTCAATTCAACGGGCATCACAACCTATCAGTCAAGTACCAGTGTCCTCGGACAGATGTTATCCTGGCAATCGATCCATTTTTTTTCAAAATAGGTTTAATAGCAAAAGAAGATATCTACTGGGCGACATGATTTAGCGGTCGGCCAATTATACTGGGACATTCTGACAGCATTTAAGATCTCAGAAATAAAAAAAGGAAGCAGAATGTTAAATAGGTTTTTTCTGCAAAGACAATGATGCCAAGACAGATAATTTTTGTGCCAAAAATGACGACAAAGCGGTTTGCTTGAGAAACCGGCCCAATACCGTATGCATTTAAAACGGGAAAACCGTTTTTCATACCACCCAGCCTAAGTGCATGCCTAAGTATCGACAGAGGTAAGAGAGACTGGGATGGTCATTTTAGACTTGTCGGTAGTCCCCAGCCAGCTATACCTGCGTCGAAATTTATAAAAAGTGGGATTCCAACTCGGACTCCTTGACCATCGACAGTTACGTCAAGCACCCACTTCGACATTCATTCCTTATTGTGTGTATAAATTGGTTGCTGTACTAGCTCACTTAAATATTCCCTGATTTTTTGTGGACACCTTTTCATTTGCATTAACGGTGGGATGCAGGTGCTCAATAAAACATTTTTAATTTTATGAGGTGTATACCAAGAGCAGTTTCGACAGGCCAAACTGACTGAACCTATCAGTGTTGTGGGGAGGAAAAACTCACGCGTAGCATCAGCTTGGCGGCGTCCAGGTAGTGTCCAGCACGCTTGAGCAATTCAACGGCCTGGACCGTCCAACCTTGTTCAAGCAGGTGTAGGACAGAGGCCCTCAGTTGGTTGTCGAGGCGTCTCTTGCTGACGGACACATCGCTGTCACCGCTGAGCGCCGGCAGCAGGTCGAGGGCAATTTGCCATTCATTCAGCTCCAGGCAGACATCAATGGCTTCCTTATATCGGGCACACTATTGCGCGTCGAGAAATACGACACCAAATACGTGGGTTAGCATCAAATTTTACGTTAGTAAGTGGCCAAATCAACATTTTGTTTGTCTTGGTAGGAGCAAAGCCTCGTTTCAAACTGCAATCGGATACAAACGCGAATCTGTGATAGAATGGAGCTGTAGGGTTTTCTAGGGCCTGATGCAATCTTCATCATGAATCTTTCCAGCTCAAGCTACTATGCGCAGTAGGGTGACGAAAAGCAGGGACTAATTAAGCGTCAAGGAGCAGACTGGAATAGGACATCGCATTCCGTGACTAAATTGCCCATGTAACCATACAGGTAAAACTGAACGCATGCTCCATAAACATTAATTGGATGTACAACGGACGACGAATTGTCACAAGTGGCTGTCCGCAACTTCTAAACGGGTCGCGAGTTTGACTTCGCGGCCAGAGTGACAATCGTACACGCCGGAAACGAGGCAGGCCGAAAATTGATTGAAGCTTGGGTCTCGGGTGAGAACTCAGTCAGTCGATGTGTATCAGCCTGACGTCAGCAGACAAAGTTCTGCAGAGTCACCTCCATACCTCCGTCACTGATCGATGATTAAGAAACGTCCCCTATAACTATCACTACTTCAGTTGCTGTTTTTATCTCTGACGATAGACTCCTGCACGAGTTCGAAAACCCAGAAAGATAAATAAATGGTTCTGCGCTAGACCATTCCCCTCCATTACGCGCACATATACCGGGAGTAAATACTAACTATCTATTATTAATAAGTAAACATATTTGCAAGAGTAAATAATTCAAAGTCGAGGCACCTTCATGAGAGCGAAAATCGCCTGTTGGCCAAGACCAATGCTAGAAAAGATATCCGCCAGCTCCGGAAGAAGAGGGTGTCCATCAGGAAGTTCGCTGACAACGTTCTCTAGATCAGTGTAATCCTCCAGGAGGTTAAGACAGCGCACCAACTTCTTGTACTCCCCACCTTGTTTGTATAGATCTGCAGCCTGGGCCCTGTGTAGAAAACAGTGGAGACAGTAGGGAAAGGCTTTTTGTCTTCTGAAAATCCCCAAATAAATTTGTTATGAACAAACCTCAGGGAAGACCACTGAAGTCAACAATGCCTATGTAACTTTGTATTTGTCTTCAATTTGCTTCCTTTTATAATGGCGCCGTAAGTAAATTAGGACGCCGCATGCCGGCAGGAGCATTAGAGGGCACTTTAAGCAGTACTATCTTTGAAAGCAGAAAGTGCTCGCAATAACTAGGTTTCTTGAAGTTAAACTCACGACAAAAAGGATACTCAGTGACCGTGTGGAACGTGAATGCTCCGAGGGTGATGTTCGACTGGTCGTGCAGCATCTAATGGACAGCCCTGGTGCAGGGTGTTCACCGATCGTGTTACGGAACTTACTCGTCCCGTTGTGCCTTGGAGCTCTCTCGAGCCCGACCAACAGCCGCACAGCGACGCGTAATATAGGCAAAATAACACAGCCTTGTCTTTGTCGGTAATGTTATTCTACCAGTGGACAACCCCGAACGAACTTATTCGATCCGCAAATCCCCAACTATGACTTGCACCCTTGACTTCTCAAGGACGTTTTGAAAGTCCATGGTGATCAGATTTGAATTTCGACGACGCATGTACAATTCTTCGGATACAAAGTGTCCGTCCAAATTCAACACTGAATATTTTTCTAATTCACCGTATAATGTCCTCTCAGCGTCCTAAGTAACCTAAAAAACGTTTCCAGGCTGCGATAAATTTCTGGGATAGAGATCATCTCTCCTGCAAACCGTGATTTCTCCCTTCCTCTGATATATTTGGCGGAAATAATGCGACGGGTGTGGGGCTTCTGCAAGGAGCAGATAACCGTCCACACGACTAAGAACCTCCTGGGGACAAAAAGAGACTCAAGACTAGCCAGATTAACGATAATACTAATGGTTGTGATATCTGTCCGTACATCTGTCTGAACGTTCGCTTCTGCTACGTCCTACTCCTGTCATGTTCTCATGTTTTTAGTCTGACAACAATCTGATCACCTGAAATAGGAGCTGACTCTCAGACCAAATTCCGCAGTCGTGCCAAAGCGGCCTGCCTGTTAGACCCAAATAATTTAGAAGAAACTTTAAAAAGCCCATAAAATGTGTGAAAACTAGCTGAGCTGAAACGTTCATTGTGAGTTTTGGTTAACTAAAACCCACGTTAAACTGCAAAGATAGTATCCCTCGATTAAAAATTCTTGCTGCAAAACATTTTTACATAGTTTGAGGCTGTAAAAATCCTCCTCTGCTTGACTACAGCAGGAAGTTCGTTTGGGCCCCTGAAAGAAATTGCTTACCAGTCTTGTTTGCTGAAGTAGTGATCACCAATCGCAATCCAGACCTCGGAGAGCTCTTTGTCACGAACCACCACGCCGGACTCCTTTGCCAACTGGGCCACTCTAAACCAATCCCCGAGACGGCGTCGAAGGTCCACCGCGAGGTCGCACCGATCTGAGCTGAGAAAGAGTTTTTCAGCACCCTGATAGTCCCCGAAGTACGCCTTAACCTCAGCCTAAAATAAATTTCTACTGAAAATCAATAGGTAGAAAAAAATCGACTGTGATAATAAAATAACTACCGTTTTCGTTATCACTGTTGTCGGATTGAAATGACAACGGCTTTTATCACATCAACGGCCTTCTCTCCAAAGACGCCGCTTTACAATGTTCTTATTTAAATTCATTCCAGGAAAACAATGCTTCGATTAGAAACGTAGTCCTTATTTGGAAACTTGGTTATTACGAGCCAAGCAGACCTCAGCTGACAGTTCCTGTTCATTCTCATCTGGATGAATCGGCGTCGTCAATAAATTTCAAAGCCTACTAATTCTCTGATACGTCCCGGTGATAGGAGGGGCAATTATGCTTTTAATACATTCAACTCAGGCCCTGGTAAACGACAATGATCATTACTACCCTTTGCGAGCAGCGGCGAACAGCGCGTGATTTACACCAAAAACAATTCGCGCAAAACATGATAACAGCGACTGTGGATAAACGTAGTAAAAGTGGTTGACCGGACAGTCTTCCCGTCTACGAGTATCAGACGCCTGCTAGTTCCTCAACCCACTTCATTAACCCAGACTCTACAACTGTGAGAGCGGAAGAAAAGCCAATGCACGTCGGATCCCCAATCTGGAGAAGGTCCGAGGTATCTCGTCAGATATCAGCCCCCTAAGCCACGGTGTCTAGCTTGTCCTGATAGCCACGAACAGTTTGAATGTTCAGTAGCAAAAAGTGTGAACAGAATCCCCTTCCCATCTCTTCCAGTGGCGAGCTGAAATTAGGTCGCTTAAGCTGAGATTGGTCAAAGTGGCTGGAGTGATAAAAAGCCTCCGCGATAGGCAAAGCCACAGAGATAAAAATCAAATACTTACAATTCCATATCTTACCTTTCTGACGTTCTCTGACTGCATGTTACGGAGGCTCTTCACAAACTCGATCCCCTGGTAATTTTGGCAGTGTACAAAAGCTACTTCTGCTGTGTCCAGACTGAGTTGGTTTAGGGCCGCCTCCGCTATTAGTGACCTTCAGATGCAACAGAGAGAAAAAACACTTTAAAGAGATTCTACCCATCGGTGAGGGACGATTTACGAAGCAAGCGGCAGTCTCTCAATAAGCCCTCAAAAAGGCGCCACAATGCGACAGTTCGACCGTCGATTTCGCAGTGTCCACCGCGTGCTCCATAGCAGGGTGAGAGCACGGACGGTGAATCGCGTGTGATAATGACAGAAGACTTGCGCAGCATCTACCGCACCGTCCCCTCCTGCCCCACCGGGGCCCGGCGTAAGGACATGGTCAAGAATATAGGAGACAGGAGACCGCGGGTAGCTGGTACGGCTATTCAAGGTCACTAGGGTACCTGATTTGACAGAGCATCAAACTTCTTAGAAAAACCACGTGGAAAACCTTTTTCAGAACTGAATTTTCCAAGCATAACCGAAGCGCTTCACGAAATACAACCTCGACGGCAGCAATATGCGCAGCCTAATGCCTAACAAAGGGGATGAACAAACAATGTAAACTGACTTAAGAACACGAGGATGGAAAAGGGGAAGATTTCTGTCGCGCCGATAAAACTCGCTCCTCCCTCATTCAGCAGTACCCAATTGGGCACAATGGTTGATCAAACATTTCACCTTAGTTTTTGGCTTATAACACATGACTTGATCAATCGAATGACGCGATTCCGGCTTCAGCTAAAAACTCGTCAGTGTGTAGCCACCAATATTACTGCTTTGTATTTTTCGAGGAAATGAAAAAAGGAAAAGGGGAGGCGGGAATTGTTTTGTGTCTTACAGTGAAGAACAACGATCCGTCTTCCCCTTAGACTCCGGAACCGATGGATATTTTACAACCACTTACCGTTATATAATGCATTATTACTGTCGCGTAAACCTCTTCTCCGACATATATAGATGCTTTTTCAGTTATTGCGTGTAACTGCCTGGTAGGCGATGTTCTAACCGAATAAGACGATATCGTTCTCGAGGTGTGGGAATAGGTACACCGGTGTGCCTGTCGCTTCACCTTGACATCCTGTGTGTGATGCATCCCAAAACCTGATCTTTAAGAATTTATTGCAGGTCGCTATGACCGTTGATAAAGCGAAAGAGTTTCCTTCTTTTTGACAGATTCTAAAGCATGTCAGTGAATCCTTCAAGGTGTCCCGGTAACACTGCTTAAGGTCAAACAAGCGGTATCTAATACAACGTCTCCACGGAGGAGCAGTTTCGTTGGGTGCTCACTATTCATCCTCGCGATGCGATCGTTCCAGTGCAGTTAAATTCCCTTCATTAACTTTAAGATTCTCAACATGCCAGTAGATTCCATGGCCTGAGTATAGGAGATCTATTCTGACCAATTTTTCTCCAGTATTCACAAAGGAGAGTTGTGATTTGATTTCTTTGTGTATTTTGGTAGATTCTCCGAGCCACCACTTTCTACTCCGTCCGACGTTGAGGAGAATATTTCGTCATTCAGTGCGGAAGGTGAGCACCTGTTAAATGCCTGGTTGGCTTTAGAGATCTAATATGCAACTTCAGATGCTTCTTCCAAAACAGGATATTTAGTACGCATCGGTGATGCCACTGCTGACTATGATACAACATAACAGCCAGTTTCTCTGTACTAACGGTCAGACTGCAGTTGACGCCCCCGGAAGCGACAAGGTCCAAGCTCCGCTGAAAACCTTCTCCATTTATAGTTTTCGGTGCACGATTATGGGCAAAAGATATTTTATCCTAGTCATGGGGGTTTTCGCAAAGGCATACTTATGGCGAATGTCAAGTAACCTCCAGTTGGTTTTATATCTACTGCCAGTCCCTGGACATCCCTCTCAAGAGGTACACACAAACACTTGCGGCGACTATGAGAAGAACGAGAGTTAGGCGAAATGCGCAACTCCGTATCACTCCACTCATTCCAGCTAATAATTCTGGGGTTGGCCTGTAGTCCGTTACATGAGTCACCATATATTCAGTGCGAGCCTTGCAGTGCACTCTAACGTCATCGTGATCTTCCACAGTCCATATCGATTCCCCGTGTCGAATGCCGTGCTAAGAAACTGTGCTTTCAACATTTTAATCGCCAGAATCTGTAGTTTATTCAAAACAGGGACAAGGGAGACTGGGATGGTCATTTTTTGACTGTTAACCATCGTCAGCCACCCACACTTAATCGCAGGTTTGCAGGGTCTGAGTCCCAAATGCACCTTCTTTGGTCATTGAGCGTTATAAAGTCCAGTGGTCTACCATCTTACCTAAGTCTGACATCATTAAGAAATAACCATGTGTTTTCTGTTTTCCGCCAGTTTACGCGCTCCAAATTCGCAGCTTTCAAACGACGAGACTGTTTCGGTACGTTGTTAGAGTAATAAAACAAGCATACGGTGAAAATACGAGCATTCTCAATGCCTCCCACAGATCTCGTTAACTACCGCGTTCATCTGTCGTACTGATAAAATCAATACGAACATCCTTCCCCTTATACAGGAGTCCCTGCCAGTCAGTTTCTCAGTGGGTCTTCATACTCAGTCCTCACTTATCGTTTCTGATGAAGAAGGTGAATCCGGCATCTCCTCAGTCATCCACATGACAGACGACCCCGATATGAAGGCATGACCTGTTCGTGCTTCCTTCTGGTGTCCTTGTTTCGAAAGTTTCATCGCGCTAATAAGGGGGATTTCTGGAGTCCTTCGATAACCAAAACTGTCTTTATTGCGGGAATTTCAGTATCGCATTACGCCTGTTTTATCTCCCCTGGACATCTGCCCTCCGCAAACGTACGGACTGCTCTGACGTCATGACTTTTGCAGCCAGACCGCTGGAGGGAACCCTCAACGAATGATGATAGCTGTCTTAGTGGCTTACTGTACTTCCCCAAAAAGACCTAAGATGGTACATGGACTTCGTTCTGATCCGGTCAATGGACAGGAGACGGTTGCCTAAAAAGTTTCTCTCCCCTCCGAAAAATCGTAAATGTCCTAATTTATATGCATTCACTTGTCTGGAAGAATTTTATGAACATGAAGTTTTTTGTAGAACTCACCATAAACGTGGATGCGGATTCTCTTCAACAAAGGCCTTAGCCTTCTCAAGGGTGTTGTTTTCGAGTAATATTCGACAGTCGTTAAGGGCCTGAAACACAGGTTTACGTTTAAGAATTGATAAAACTTCTGATTATCTTAAAATCATCTTTGTGTTAGCAGGTTGTTTACCACGGTTAACATCGGACATGAAATAGATTTTCAAGTTCGGCTAAATCTGTTTATTAAAACTCTCGCGGGCAAATTACTATCCTTTCAATGAAAAAGTTGCTCTGATGCGTAACCGGAGTCTAGGACATGTATTAGCATAGGAAATTACACAAATATATTCCAGCGTCCATTTTCGCTAAAATTTACTGATACTTTATTTGATATAATTACGTAAACACAATTGCTGTACAAGAAAAGGACATTCCATTGAAGGGTGTAGATGAGCGAACAAAATTTGCAACATTAAAGACATCCAGAAATTATGGCATCAATTTACGTTATCAGATTTCATGAGATAGGTCACGTAATCTAGATGTTCAATCAATCAATCAGCTTGGATTAAATGACTGATATCCTTGAAAACTGCATTTAAACAGTACAACTCTGACTTAAAAGTAATTATGTTAAAAATATTTTACAGGCACTTTCTAGTATGCTAACTGCATAAGACAACGAATAGAACAGGCGGGTTAAGCAAGTGAATAATTTGCAAAATAAAAGCGAACAGTACCCTCACGGCACTTGCATGCAATATGCCCAAGTTCACGTAAAACCAATAAGTTACTGAGAAACGTGAGTAGTATGTTTATAGTTATTATAATGCCGCATCAGATGGGGCTAGGAGGAGCCCTGACCGACCTTTAACTGGCCAAGTTCACCCTCGTCGCTTCTAGCCGCAACATGGTTCACATTGATGTGTCTTTATACTGTCAGCATGTTGTTCTGGTTTCCTGACACACTGATACAGAGGACCTACCGGCCATAAAGAGCTATGATTCAGGTGGTACATTGACGAGAAAAGCCCCGCTGCCTCCAGTGGAAGATGGGGAAATTTAGAGTTCTCATTGTTTTAACATTTGGCTACGCGGACAAATGTTATTAAGAGCCCTCTTTTGAAATAAAATTGTGTGCACGCTTCATAGTTATCGACAGATCTCCTTGAAGCAATGTACCGTATAGGTCCTGGCAGTTATAATGCAAAAGGACATAACTTCACGAATGATGGTTCGGCGATATGTAAATTTCAGTCAGACATTTCGGAATTCAAGAAGGGTAAAAAACAAACTCAAAGTTGGCATTTGAGGAGGGAAAGAAACAGTATTTTTTTAATAAATCCCGACTTTCATTAAATGCACTTCGAAGCGGCTTTCGTCCGGCAGTTCGACACAATCTATTCCATATGGGTCGAATTAGCGCATCCGTTTAGACGAGAAGCTTAGCCCTTTTAGGTTAGAAGAGCAGCACAATCAGTTTGTCCACACACATTGACAAGATTGAGAGATCCGGGTTGACGATTTGAAGAAAAAGATGGGCTCACCGTAACAGGTTTATTCAGGTGCTGACGTTTTGAAGAGCTTGGTCGGCTCCTCAGTGTCTAAGCGTAAAGTGCACTTAATCGAAACTCCAACACCTAAATAAACCTGTTCCTATGAGCCCATCTTTTTCTTAAAGCTGTCTGTCGTTGTAAAGACGTGGGTTTCAGAGTGCCTGGCCGAAGATGATGATTAAGTGTCCCCGAAAGACCCTCATATTTCGTCCTGCTGCGAGGACAGGTCAATAAAGGCCACTCGCATTAGGTTTTGATTATCAGTCGCACATTAGAGGCCATGAGTCTGTGACTCAACGGCAAGTCGCTTCGATGAGCAGCTGAGTTCACCTTTAAACTTGGAGTAAACTCGACTTAAAGCTGGCGTATGGGTGACTACGGAGTTAGAAGCATATTGGCATAGAACTGTTCCGGACTGATTCTGTCTGAATTCAGCCGACCATGGCCTGAACCACCATCCTGAGTCAGTGAGCGGGTGTGCGGCTAGTCCTGTACGTCCTGATATCAAAAAACTAGATTACGAGTTGTTTTCAAATGGGTAAGCTCCTTTTTTGTAAATGCTTGTCTTCAAGAGTCACTACACCGCTGTCGCTCAATTAAAATGGATAACCACACTCGATAGCAAAACTGCACTGAAATCTTTTGGACTTGTGAATATTAAACCCTGTGCTCAACTCAATTTGCAGACAATAGGACAGGGAAAATTCCATCAAACAGTCGTGAGACTTGATGTAGGTAGGCATGGGGTAACGCACCTTTACAGGTATGTTCGAGATGGAATTCAATTTCGGCTGATCGGCTTGTTGAATGAGGTCGTCTAGCAGTACCCCGAGTACCTCAAGATCACGGAAACCGGCAATGTAAGCCGATGTCTGTATAGCCGGTTCAGCCTCCACACCGTGGAAAATGAACATTTTTGTCTTCTCCATTGCGACAAACATTTTTGCGTCGTCCTTCAAAGACGAAATAAGCAACTACTAAGCAAATCCGCTGATGCATTGTAAAGCAACGTTTTCTTCTATTTTCGCAATTATTTTTCACTCCATTGATGACTTTAATTCTTTAGTACAACTTTCAAGGCATACTGCAACTACTTTCCTCACCTCAGAAAACTTCAGATCCCATACATCCTTGCGAAGAAAGTTGTCAAACAAGACCTGATCCTTCTGAGAGGTCGCATTCTCCTCCTGACCATCAGGCACCTCGTGTAGAGTGAGTAATCCGTGTTCATCAATCAGTCCTAGGATGCTTTCAGAAGGTTAAGGGAGTCAGTCGAAGAATAGAAACCGGCTTTTAACTGGCACAAAGAAAACAATATCGGTGCGAGTCAATATTGGCGTTTGTAGGTGTTAGCAGGTTGGGTGTTTCCTTTGGGGTAGAGAAGACGCATTCAGACTGCGCATAATAGCTAAAAAGTACTGCTCAGTCTCATAGTCTCTCACTCTCCTGTCAAAAAATTTGATGTAGAGCACATAATAACTCGGAGATGATAACAAAAAAGTCAAAATATCCATTGTTCTTTTAACTGTCTGATCTGACAAGCCTTTTCAGATCCGAAATGTCGAATTTCTGCCCACACAAGTTTAACGCGTTTATAAGAACTACTATTTTCATTTTAGTAACATTTAATGTGTAATTTGTGTAATGAGGGAGGAAGTCATAGGAAGGCAAACTCGCACTCGTGAAGTTTCAAGTTGTGGAAACCAACCCGCCGACAGAAGAATAAGGGCGAGGTAGGTTTATCATACTAAAACGCTTGAGGGCATAGAGGCTGCGTAAGTAGACCATAAGCCCGACGGACACAGCGTTGCAATAAGGGTCGGCTCGTCGACCGCCACGAACGAAAAACCGTCTCGTAATTATCGTCGGACCAGTGCATTTATATTGGAACGGAGTGCAAGTAAAACATGTTGGCCATAAGAAAAATGCATTACAGTTCGTCTTTTCATACGCGTGGGGTGTGAGAGTAGGGAGAGGTAACATGAGAGCGAGTCAGGAGACAGAGAGGGCTAGGGGGAGGAGGAAGGGTGCGGATAAGTGCATCATGGCCGTGTCTGGCGTCCATGTTCGAGGCCCCGTTGCATCAAGGTCATTCACTTTCGCAGCAAACGATCCCAGACGCGCTGACCTGCGGCCACTCGAACGTTTTTCGACTTGGACACACGCGCGTATACGCAATCGCAGCTCCGCGTGCGCCACCTGAACAGACCACCACGTCCCTCCCCCCCACCTCTTCCATTTGAACGACACTCCTCGACAAATGTTACACACACCAGCTGAACACTAGTTTGCCCAAGGAACCTATGAAATCAGCTGTTACCACAGTCCCACGAATAATCAAGCATGATTGGGCGCAGTTAACACCAGCCCTAGCTTCGCCAGCGGCCACTATAACCTAAGAGGACAACGCAGAGCTCTGTATTCAGTTCAAACACACCTATGTTGCGCAGCACAAACCATGTCCACACCTATCCGCATCTTGGTTATCAGTCCACCAGACTACCAGTTTGATCGGTTGATAATGCTCCCCGAACAGTCAGCCAGTTGAGAATATCGCTCAGCGTCGCCAAGAAGTCAGGCACGAGGACTGTGGTTTTTTGAGGGTGTTAGAAAAGTAGTCTAAAGTCAGTGACCGATCTCATGAAAATTTTGCCGAAATCCTGAAATGCGTTTTCGACCGGGAAGGAGTACCTACGTGGGGTTGTAAGAGAGACTACTGTAAATCATAATCCCATGATATTTCGGAGTCGCCAGGATGTTAACTTTCGAATGCACTTCTTTTCGATCGCCTCTAAAAACCCCACACGATGAAAAATAATTAGTTAAATGGTAAGGATTTTCCCGATTGTTTATCGGTGCTCTTATAAATTTAAATATATTTCATAGGGAAAATACACAAAAATATTCTTTCTTACACATATTTGGTAGAAAATCGTGTCTTCTCTAAATTTTATGCTCAAAGGAGGGGCATGTTTAGGTGTAAAATAAGTCTTTCAATTTTCCAATAATTTTGAGTATAATTTGCCGTTGCATCTGCGTCCATAAAGTGTATACTTTCTGCGTAAAGAAAATCATACACCCATCTATGCCTTTAAGAATGTCCCATATAAAGCTCATAAAATTTCGCAATGGACACGGACCATGTTGTCTACTTCATGAGGGACACTGTTAGACGGACGGATGCGATGCGATTTGAATGGACATTGCAAGTTCTTGAAAAAAATATCATGATTGAGAACTTATTTAAAACTGAAAGAAACAATTTCTTCGAGTACAAAACTTCGAAACTTCGTGATTTTCTGCTAAATCAGTACATAAAAGAATATTTTGTGCATGTTTTCTATGAAATGTATTTAAATTCCTAAGGGCATCGATAAGCAATTGGTAGAATCCTTACTACTTAAGTAGTTATTTTTCATCGCGTGCGGGTTCTAGAGGCGATCGAAAAGCAGCGCATTCAAAAGCCAGCATCCTGGCGAGTCCGAAATATTATGGGATTATGATGAACAGTAGTCAATCTTACAACTCCACTTAGGTACTCCTTCCTAGTCGAAAACGCATTTCAGAATTTCGGCAAACTTTTCATGAGATCGCTCGTTGACTGTGATGTTCACACCCAGTCCTTAACTTTACAAGCGTTGCTCGTTTTTGGCGGTTGGTGCTAGGTGCGTGAACGAGCAGTTGAAGGGCATAATTCAGAGAGAGGGCCAGAATGTTAACTGGACTTACGATGCGTCGGCGTTCACCTCGATGCGGTTTGGACGCTTCTCTGTCGCCTGGAAGGCCAGATCGAACCAGAGGTCAGGAAGACGGTAGCGCACCACTTCACCACTGCAACGAGCGACGAAGAGGTGTCGACTGCCGCTGGTAGCAATGGCTGCAATGGGGTCCTTCGTGGAAGGTGCGGCCAAAAGACCCAAATCCGGAGTCTGTGGTTTGTCCACATCTAGGATACCCATTTTCGAGAGGTTGCTGGCGCTCTCCCTTTGGTCGATGTGCGCCATTCTGTCCAAGTGGGGGGGAGAGATAAAATCACCTTAACATTACTCCTGGATGACAAGGAAACAACTTGGAAAGTCGACTTCTTTCCTTGACTTTAATAAAGGAAATGTAATGTGTCTTAAGCCCACCTGGAATTGCAGTAGGAAAGTGGAAATCAACAGCTGCAATCTAATGCCCTTCCGCGAGAAGCAGTTAGCTTGTTGATGCACAAACACAATGACCTCCCGGTACCCTATACCCTACTGCGATTTTCCCTGGACAGGAGAATCAGTCACGTGGGGAGGGCGCGGGCGGGCAATCATCACGGTGACAGTGAGCCAGTTTGCCGAGCAATCGTCACATCAGCATCCAGCACGGATGACGAAATCGCTGCAATTAACGACTCGGACTCGGACCGACAAGCCACCACCGCATCAATTACGACCCCAGCGGTGATTGCGAGAACTGTTAATTGCAGTGCGCATACGGTCCCACGGCAGCCACGTGCTATAAATACTGCACTCCTGGTGCCACCATCACCTGTATCTGCGAATGTCTCTGATGATGGATTCGAGTGAGGATCCGAAACGTCAGGCAAATAAATTTCTTGTTCCAGTGATCGCATCTTCATCTTCTGAACTGCTACCTGGAACTCGCCTGTTTGCTTCTATCAGTATCACTTCTTCCTACTTGAGTTTCTTGGAATGCCCGTTTTTCATGTCGATTAACTTCGATGGCGTGCTTTAGTTAAAGTGTTAGTCTCAAGTGATTGCATACCTTTCTCCAGAAATTACCATACCTTCTTTCATAGATTCACCCAGACGCTGGTCGGAAATCCGGCCAGAATGAACACAAAATAGCCGTTGCCTCGACCTTCTCACCTCCTTTTCGTCTGGTAGATGGTCACCCATTTCCAACGCCTCCCACCCCAAAAGGGGCTTGTTTGATCTGAAGGACTTAACAGATAGCGACCTGCCCATTCATTCGGAAATATGGGTCAGACACGTAAATAGGGGCCCCTCCGTACGACATGTAGTCCTGCGGTCAATTCTAGGGGCACCTGATTTTGTGTCCCAACTTTAACTCTAACCCTCTGAGGAGTAATTGTTAGTACCACTGCATCCGAATGAGTGCCAGCAGAAAGCGGCCTTCCACAGGGTTCGGTCTTTGGTCCTCTCCTCTTCCTCATCCATATAAACGATTGTACAGGAGATCTTGAATGCGATGCCTTCATGTTTGCTGCTGGTATAAAGATTTGGAAAAAAACCGGCTGTGTTGAGGACGAGCAGAAAATACAGGAAGATGTTGATAAGTTGGCTGCATGGTCCAGCAAGTGGCTTCTAGCGTTCAATGTATCCAACTGTGTAGTCTTGCGCCTAGAATCTGGTCGGAGGTGCTTCTCAAACCACGAGTACACCATAAATGGGGTTCCACCAAAAGAAGTGGACACGAACAAAGACCTAGGTAGCTGGACAATTTCAAACTTGCTGCCCTCCGAGCACTGCAAAAGAACCATCCAAAACTCAACTAGCATCATGCACTGGATTAGGCCTGCCTTCGTTGTCTTTCCTCCCGAACTCTTTTTACAGATATTCAGTACGTTCGTCAGATCGCATTTGGAATACAGAATGCCAACGTGAATGCCCTGGATGAAGAAAGACAGTGATGCCATAAAGCCGATGCACGACGGGTGACAAAACTGGTGGACGGCCTCAGAATTCTGTCATATCCAGCTTAATTTGTTCCCCCTGTCCTATAGACAAAGTAGATGTGACCTGTTATGGACACTTCGCATTATCTGCGGGCATGACTGTTTACTCAAATCTGAAGATTTCGTTGACTTCACGATCATGAGTCACCTGAACGGTCATCCGTACAAGGTCAAAAGGGAGCGTACACGCCTAGACCATCGGAAGCTTTCATTTAGTCAGCGTGTGGCTCGACCGTGGAACTCACTCCCAAGTGAAATAGCGACATCTGGCACAACGGTTGTATTCAAATGGCAGTTGGATTGTCTGATCTTCAATAAACGGCGACTCTCACTGCAGGACTATCTGTAACCAGCCACGTACTTTACTCCGCTTCCTGTATAAGGCACCTCTGTACTTTTGATGCAAATTCCTTCCGAAAACTACACCAATGACTACATTTCGTGCCAGGTATATACAATTGTGGCTATAATCTCAAATGTACATGGAAAGGACCGTCTGCCGTAACCTCTGCAGTTCCATACGGTAGAAATGTTTTCGGATAATAAATATATTACTGACAACATTTTAGTAACCTGTGTGTTGAAAATTAACATCGCATGTACCGTTTTCAAAAGGGTCATCAAGGACATTGCCTATTACCCTAGGTATACTATACTATACTTCCTAGCTCTGACCCGAACTCTAACACTAATCCCAAGCTTAAGCTCCCCGCCCTAATGAAAACCCTACTTCTGATCCACCTAACCTTGGTACTTGCCATAACACGATGACGAATAAGCCTGGGTTTAAAGCACAGGCTGCCCTGGCCTGCGAAGGAGTGTGACTAACTGGTGACGGCAAATAAGCCGGAAACAACCATTGAAATCAGTCTTGTATTTAAGTATCAATTGTAGTGACACGCCTAGACGTGGCCGCGCCAGCCACCTGGGTCATTTCCCGCATGTAGTCTGTGTGAAACCTCCCTAACTAATAACTGGATGAGTGATCACGGTGCGAGTACTTCGAATAGGCACGTAGGCTCACGAATTGTCGGGTTAACGAATCCCATTGACGCGAGTCATCGTAAAACTGCAGGCAGAGAACGGACAGATACGCGCAATCAAACAGCTAATGGCTGACAGGCAAGCAACAAGCACGTCAAGTCTCCTTTAATTACTTGTATCTCATACAAACCCCGCAGGAATAATTTGGACCAACGATGTTATTTTAAGTCACTGTCAGCAGTAAAACAGCTATGGAGGGCAAAGTTTGACTTACCGCTCCAGACCTTCTCGTTGTTTATTGCGAACGTGAATGGCGGCACCCATGCCAAAGAGGGTTTTGGGGTTTTTGAATTGCCACAGGTGGATCAGTGAGCTATCCGCGATGATGACGTAGCCGCCGGCCATGGCAAGGCACTTCGGCTCCACCTTTACCGTCTTACTGTCCATAATAGAGCCCAGGCTGTTGTAGATGGCAATCCTGAACTAAAATGAAAATGACAAGAACGCAAGGCTAGGAAAATTCGAACCTACGAGATGAGTAAGTTTTCCGCGGGAGTAGACTTCAACTGTTTATCCCGATCTCAGGACAGATTTCAGATCGATTCTATTATGCCTCGGAATTTTTGGGTCTGGGGTCTCTGCAAACTCTCGCATAGCGGAGCGTAAACACTAGTCAGGGAGAGTTACCGAACAAGACAGGGCGACTGGAAGTGCGTTCACCAATCGGGTTGCCGGACATGTCCATTCCGTTGGGCCTTGCAGCTCAATGTCGGACCTCCTCCCACAGTTTTGCATCTTTTAGGGTAATGGGCGTTCCCTCTGAAGACCCCAATGGGAACGGTAGACAGAAGTATTCGAATAAAAAAAACGATTCTGCTATGACGGTTGCAGCGACATCTTCAGTATACTAAAACTATTCTGACGATGGACACTGGGATACCGGTGCCTTTAACCTCCAGCCCATTAACCGCCAACGTCTGGAAATTGAATATCACCAGTAGCCACCGTTCGGCCGCATGTGAGGCTGTTAGACAGCGATTCCAAGGCAAAGCAAACCCCCACATCCCGTGCCGCATGTAGATGAAGTCGTTGAATTGTACATTCGTGCAATTTCGTCTATTCCGGATAGAAACCATCAGAGAGTGAGGACAAAACGCCACTTTTAGGTCATTCATTCCAACGATCAAGCAGACCCCGGTCCGAACGTCAGGTCTTCATGGTCGGTGACTAACTATGGTAACGGGTAAGGAATATTTGTTCTGGTCTACCTTGTATTTTTTGACTATACTTCCCTTGGTAAAGACGGCAATGGCACTTAAAGGATTGACGGAAGAATTTCCTATCGTCATGCATAGTTCTCATTCAGCCCACCTCACAGCTTTCCAAACTAACGGGGCCTAAAACTGTCGGCGACTGGTCGTACAGATGTGTGGGAAACATGAGCTTCTGGGTTGTCACTTCATGAGAGAATGTGTCCTTAAGTGTTTGCGCAAACCAAACAAGCAAGATAAACGGGTGGAGGCAAATGTTTGAGTTCCAGGTGTGTACAGAAATGGAGAAGAAGACTGATCGAGCACCGAGTCTTTGACTTTTTGTTAGAAATATCGAAGAAGCGCCTTAAATACGATATTCCGCCTCTGTTGCAGGTGAAGATGGTCGTCCAGTCAATGACATCCCCCTAAGTAAACCACGTGAGGCCCTGCCGTTTACCGCAGACGTATCCGCAAACAACGCTATTAGCTGCTCATGCTTAAAATGTGAAGACTGGACGTCCGTTCTACTGTGCTATGTCCCTTTACAGCTGATAAACAAAAAAATATTCCATAATATTTACTTATGTGTGCTATTATCTTTTGGAACGTCACACAAGCGCAAATTGTTCATCCACTGAGCCGGTTGCCGCGACGGATGGTACCTCACCATGTTGTTGGCGCTACACCCGCCTCCCGACTTGACACTGATTGGCTGATCAATAACACCCACCTAAGCATGACCGATGCCTACACACTGTGGCGTAAGCCGTCTGCGTGCTCAGATGCAATATCGAATTATTGGCCTTGACATCAGTTGGGTGCAGTCCGTCTGCCATTACTCTTTTGGAGTAGTTAATTGTATTGTGCGCTTCCTCTAGAAATGCGATTCACACAGCGAAGAGTACTGACAGGATAGGCCACCGACCCGATTGAGACCAGCTGGGTCTTCCGGTGATAGGGACTTCCACCGGACGAACGTCTGTCAAGTCACGAAACTGCCATCTCAGTGTCTGCAGCCCTTGCCGTTTGGGACAAAAGGAATGTTTATTTATTGGTATAACTAGGGGTGCAGTGCAATAGTTCTCTGATGGAGCCTCCAGGATCAAAACAAAATGGGTCCTCACCCTGAGGTCACCCTGAGACCAGTGTTCCCGAGTCGTGTAAGCCCTCCACTCCTCACTTACCGCAGTTCACGATTTTCTCTACCCACGTAGTTCAATGTGATCCTGAATTTGACCACAGATTAATTGATTATTACTCGTTACAAGCCCATGACCTAACTGCGTCCTATCTAAGATGATGACCGATAGATTGGCAGATAATCGGCCAATGAAATCGCTTCTAATCATTCATTCATTGCTGTAAATTGGGCAGTGCTGTGCCGCCGACGCGCCTTACTAGAGCGTCCACAATTCTCCCAGATTGCGTCTGTCGTTTATCGACCCTGTGACCTGATCGGGCGCTAAGGCTGAAAGTGTGCGGTAACAACAGTGATGTCTCTGCTGATGAAACCATTTCGCTATTTGGATCGGTGGATACCTGGGGGACGGTCGTTCAAAGTTGAAAAGCAGGGGGTCGCCTATAATAAGGACAAACTAAAGCCCCTGGATGAGTAGTGTGTCTTCTTGGTTTTTGGGGCACGATAAAATGTTTTTGCGAGCTTGCTTCATCGCCGGAAAGGGGCTTTAGGCCACGCTGCGCCTCAGACTTCCCCATACAGAGGCGCGATCAGATGCGAAACACAACCTTGTTTCCGGGTAGTGACAGATGGAATTCGTTTCCCCTTCAGCCTGCCTCAGTCATCATGTTCTGTTTGACACTGAAAACTGTCCTAGCAGACAGTCGGTACGCGTGATACGGTTGACGACAAAAGCCGAAGGAGATCCAATGTGACGTGTTAGTGTAACTTAGATACGGAGATGCGATAGTTAGACCTTCGGTCATTTAGCTGCGCATGTACTAGGTTATGAGACGAAGTCTTATCTTTTCTGCCAAAACTAAACTGTTGACTGGCCGATGGTATGAGTGGTTAGAACACGCCTTTTGCGAAAGACCCCTTTCAACGACACTATGGAGCTGAATTCACAACTCGTGTCTCGATTGGTGGTTATGATAGCTGGTACACAAGAAAAAGTTGACTGCCAGTCCTCAAGGACACGAATCATATTCTCAGAGGTTGAAATTGGTACAGCAATGGACCAATCAGAAAAGTGACCGATTTATAACACTAGATTTACGGATGTCTCAACAAGATTACGACTGTCCTTTTTACGTAAGTTTCGGCCGACGGTGGTGCCCCTGTCAGGGGACGTCAGAGCACATAAAAGTTGCTGGGGCTAGTGGCGAGTTTAGAGCTTCTACTGCCGACGAGTACAAAGTTCCCCCATGACTGGTCGATAACGGACCAATCGATGTATGAGACTGAATGCGCTTATAGCCCATGTCTGGACGGATGTCAATGACTGTCTGGGGACTTGGACGCAATCATGACACTACTCCCAGACTTACCCACTTGGATTTCGATTCGCGAAACATGTTTGCGGCGATTGTTGATCGTTAGTTTCAGGAGGGTTTTCTAGCGTTCACTGTCCAAGTAAAAATATTCAGGCTTTTCTTGAGGTGTAAAACATATTTAAAACTCACTGATGCCGCTGAGGAGCCAATCTTGCTGGCGATGCAACAGTGTTCGTCGTTACCGGCGAGAGCTATGAGACTTGGGATGGACTGAATGCAGGTCTATAATTAAAAAGAGATTTTTATGAAAACGATATGCTCCATTTTCCATGTTTAAATCGACGCGGATTGTAAGGAGAAGGACAGGAGTGAATCATCATCATCGACGGAGAGGATCACCATTACATGCTTAGGGGAAGGTGCCTTTCAAATGTGACTCAACAAAAAGATCTTGGGATCAACATTTTGTCGACTCTTAAGCCTTCCACTCAGTGCGTCAGGGCGGCCAAAACGGCAACTAGTGTTCTCTTTGCCATTAAACGAACTTTCGTAGACATAGATAAAGAGTTATTTGGAAAAGTATATGGAGCATTCATTCGTTCGCACCTGGAATATGGAATCCAAGCGTGGCGCCCGTGGCTAAAAAAGACTATAAGTTGCTAGAAAGAGTTCAGAGGAGAGCGACAAAAGTTGTGAAAGACCTCAGGACTTTACCTTACAACTGCCGACTTAGTGAACTTAAACGCTTTCCTCTTGAGTACAGGCAGGTTCGAGGTGATCTCATACAGGCCTATCGGATATTGAGGAACCGGGACTGTGCCCTACACCCGGACGATTTCTTCACCCTGGCCACAACAACAAACCTGCGTGGGAACTCCCTAAAACTTAGAGGATCGCGATGCCGCCTGGACGTTCGAAGATTCTGTTGTTCACAGCGAGTCGTCGGAGCCTGGAACGGGCTTCCCGAGGACGTAATAATGTCCGATACCACGGAGACGTTCAATCAAAGACTAGATGTATATTTGCTAGGACAATACCGCTTGTCTGGACAGAACAACTCTGTGGTGCCAAACCAACGCCTTGCATACACCTACCGCTAATGAGGATGACTGTCATTGCATTTTACCTATATCATCTACAACTGAACGTGTCTGAGTTTCGGTTCTGCATTTTCAATGAAAAATATTTTGTTAAGTGTATATATTACTGACAACATTTGAGTACTGTGTTTATTTAAAGTTACATATCGCATGTACCGTTTACAATAGGGTTTTCAAAGGCATTGCCTATTACCCTTAAAATATACTCACCTATACTGACCTAAACGACAAACCAGAGACACGCTAGACGGAAGCAACTGTGTCACGGTTGCCGCAGTACTTGTACAAAAACCCACCACGTTTTCGGCTGTCCAAAGCAGCTACTGAGGTACCTTACGCGTGTAATTTATAGTGATAAATAGCCAGTCTAAAAGATCTCCTAGATGTGTCCGTCAGTCATAACCAACTTTTTAAACGTGGTGCCATAACAGTTTTTGATCTCACTATTACTTCATTACTCTTCAAAGCCTCCAAAAAAAACGAAGCATTGATGGAGCATTGGAAGCGCATCAAGTCCGCATGGGGATGATTTGCAGCACCGGTTATTTTTGTCTCTAGATCGAGACGAGAACGCTTCATCAGGTTTGAGAAATTCGGTTGAAGAAGGAGCCCGGTAAGTAGGAAAATACTAGGAAAGGGACGGCTAAAAGTGTGTACTTGTGTCTCAACCTGAAAAGACCAGCCAGGATCTCGGCAATGATGGCATAAAGTTTCAAAAAGTGACTTCCAAAACAATTTCTTTGACGGATCTTATTAACTGAAAACTGCATTTGTCGAAAGACCTTAAATTATTTAAGGGTTTATGGCTTGCGGAAACAAATGTGATGTTTGCCAAAGTCATAAACAACGACTTTTCAGCATGTAGAACATCGCCCTAGAAGATCAGAGCAGAAAATAAGTAACCATTTCCAAATCAAATCAAACAGTAGTCAGAGCAGTTCAAAGAAAATTAAGGATGTCTATTCGAAAAGACAAACAATTGCGAGTCACAGAAAAGTGTTGAAAATCAGTTTTTGGACCAATCTTATAATCGCTTCCAGTTCTTCGGTCATGCTACCTGAGAATTCTATTTTCCCTATTGTCAGTATTACATTTTTCCGCCTCCATTTCTGGCGACAGGATTCAATCTAGACAGGCACCAAAATAAACGAAACCAAGCATCAATTCAGCAGTACTTTAGTACGATGGCAGGTGCGGCAGCGTCAAATTGTACAGCTTAGAGTACATTAACTAGCCTACTAGTTGTGTTTTAGTAGGCCTAATGACAGGATTGAAATATACAGAGTCCTTCAGCTGACAGTCTGTAGCTTACCGTGTTTCTTTTGGTGTTCCAGAACATCACGCATCTTTCTTGTGTGTCCGCCCTAGTAAAGGCGTAGACAAGCGTACTAGTACTCCGGCAATAAGCCCACTGGTATTTTGGCCTCAGGTTTGTGAAGTAGATGAACGAATCAATTGCAAGGGCCAGTCGAAGAGAACCCGAACCTTCCCAGGCGCAAGCCGAGGGCTGTTTTCCAGGTACACTCAGAGTATGCAAGTGCTATAAATAAGCAATTGTTAGGGCAGTAAGAATGATAAAGCGAAATCGAAACAACTGTTAATGAGGGAAAGATCTAATGAAAGATCCATAAGTCCCTATATAAAAGACTCAAAACAGTCCGTCGTGGCCTCGTATCACAGGAATTTAGGCAGTTGGTTGTACTGAAGTCCTTCTCCTCCAGGCGTGGGTTGGAACCCTGTTGAGGCAGCCGTCCTACTCACAATTGGTTAGGCAGTTAATATATGTATATATATAATGGTCTACAAAGCTTATCCTAAACGAAAGCCGGGAAGCTTTCGACGTCACGAAAAATAGGTAATGTTAGAAAATAATTCATGATGCCATAAAACTTCATTAATGTCAAGGATGATACTAAGGGATTATTTAAATGCTTTCTGATAACGAAAATGTCTGCATTAGTGACTAAGAACTTACGTCACCAAGAGGGTTGTAAAACTGTACAACACCTAGACCGCGATCAGTCTGCTGTTGTCCTGATGCAAATTTTTGTTGTCCACCGACAGCCAGAACTGAGCCATTTTCATTCCAAGCGGCGCAAGTGATATGAATGCCCGTCTCAAGGAGTGTTGGCGCTAAATGTAGGAGGATGTGGATGAAGGTATGCAAAAATTGGCTCGCAAAGCTAGTTACGAACTGCTTGTGTAAGGGTTTTGGATAGTACTGATAGCAATTTTCCTGAATGCATTATATCACTATTGTAGAACACAAGAAGAAACTCTTAAACACAACCGCCGTAACACAAGGACCTCACTTGTATCATTCTCATTTTTCATTATTTGGCATCGTCCAACGTCGTAGCAAATGGCAAGTACGGGGCAGTCTTGTTCAAAGTATCCCTTTTCGCCTCGGTACCAGGTTATGCAGACCAGTGAGACTGCTCCGTGAATATCATAGAGGCAATAGATCGGTAGCTTGTTCTAAAAAAGCAAAAGAAAAATGACTATAATAAAAACAAACGTGTAATTAGTGTCGACAGACAGGGCAAACCATTTGACAGAATGTTTCTTGGTGCCTTCATTTCATGACATAACAGTGAGATTAACAATGTTCATAAGTGCACATCAGCCAGTCTTCCGTAATTTTGCAAACATTTGATTAATCCCCTTGGATAACTGGAAATATGCACATTAACGGGCTTCGAAAGTTAGGAAAATAATCATTGGTAGGGGACGCTCACCGTTCATTAATCATTTGTATGCTTCAATATACGAAACTTGAGAACACTATTTTGGCAGAATAAAAAATAAATAAATAATGGGCAACAGTAGTATGAGAGGCGGAATCGAAAACAGTCAAATATATTGGTTATTTCCTGCAGCGGGCAGGCGTGGATGGCATCTGGTCCCAAGTGCGTGGCCTTAGTGCCAGTGTCTTCTGCAACACCAAGATTTTGGTCTTATTGATTCCCAGTGAAGTCGTTTCCACTGGGCATTTATATCAATTCCCCGCAAAAATATTTAAAGATGGAAGGATTTGTTGAAATTTCTCGCAAGCCTGTTGAAACACTTAACCGATTATTTCGAATCTCAGCTTTCTCCGATGGATGCCCAGGACTTTCAATAATTGTAGAGTAGGCCATTTGTATATGTCAGAAAAAAGTGCTGGGCTCATAAAACTTAACACACTAGCATGGCTACGAAAATTTGCCGCTTGACAGTGACAGTCATTCTTCTAACATGACACGTGCAATCAGATTATGTATTCCCTGTAAGGAAACGCAGTACCTTGAATTATATTCATTCTCTTAGCAGTGAGTTATATTGTTGGCATAACAACGTCCACAAAGTATACATTTAAAACTTGAATATGTCCTTATTAAAATAATTGGACGTAAAATAGATTGTCGGTAAAAAATAGGTTTGAGAATAAGAGCTAGATTTGGTACTGTTTTGATTATCAAAAAAATATTTACATCAAATCTTTTAAATAGAAAGACTTAGTTTAAATAATTGATAGACAGTTATTCTCTTACATAAGTGGCCAGGTTAAAACCGATTCGTCATGCGCTAAACCGTTTGATATGCCCGAATCGAAGTGATATCACTCATTAAACTTCCACATAATATGTCACATACACATTTGAAGCAGGCGACAGAAGCCTTAGTGATGCAACCCCTCCGTACATAGACTTTGAATAAACATTTGGATCAAGTAGAGTTAGTGTTCATTTTTTCTTTGCCGACGAGTCTTTTCTTTGGCAATTCTACTTGTCTTAGATGTGTTTCGTCAATATGAAAAAATTTTTTAAATGATGTTCCATGGCCTTTAATAAACTCACATACTTTAAGCACTTTTAGGTAAACTCATTTTTGTAGAGTAGAAGTGGCAGGCATTCCGAGACGATATAATGAAAAAGGAAGAGGTTCTTCGGAAAAAATCGAGTTGTTCCCGCGAATTTTCGAATTGGTGACACCAACCCGTCGTCAGACGAAATGAAGAGAAAAGAGAGAGTGAGACAGTCACACTAGACTAATAGACGAGACAGGACAAACATTGACGGACGAACCATTAGCGTGTGAGGAGGGATGCGGGTAGGGAGTCATGCTGGGTTCTGAGTCGGGAGGGTAGGAAGGGGGGGAACCGTTACGGCTCCCGTGTTAGAAGGCAAAAAAATTACCACAAAGCAACTGATTTCCAAGAGAACTTGTTGTTACAACAAGAGTGGATCCAGTCTTGTGTTCTTCTAATTTTAGATATTCCTAGCTTATAATGTGTTTTGTACCATTCCGTATACTGAAACGTCCTGGAAAAATTTGGCGCATTAAACTTATTTTTAAATTTCAGATTGCCGCAATTAGTAAGTGTCCGACCTATTTACTATCCAATTTGTCCGAAAGTGATAATTAAATCAGATTATTAGATCAAGTATTGTACTGACGAAATTAATGTAAAAGACGCAAAAATGATAAAAAATCTCAATCTTTCGTGTCCTTAACTCATGTCTGAATGCAAAAGTTGTACAGAATAAATCAAATTAAGACAACATTTTGGGCGTTTTGATGGCATGAGTTGCTAAAGTTCCCAGTGGAAAAATGTGGACAGTGCCTTTAGGCAACGCACGCTGTCCATTGCGTATATTGTGGAACGAAAAAAACGATATAACATGCAAGGCAACAAGTCGCTGGTAAAAATGCAGATATACCAGAAATATTCCGAGGGAGTCGTAGACGTGAATTTCACCAGAAGACAGGCCAAAGAGGATGGAACGACCATGTGGAGCCCATTCAACGGCTGCTAGCTCGGTGCATTTGAGTTCTTTTCCCCAAATCCGATTCCCATCTACAGATCCAACGATGACTGCACCATCTTCGTATGCGATGCATATTCTTCGACCGCCCTTGTCCCACTATTTGACGTCAAGTACTGCACACGACGCACCTTTAGCCCACGAACTGTGGACTTGTTTCTATTGTTTATCATCTCCTCGAACCAGTTTCCTTTGTAGAGCATCCAAACGATTATAAGACCATGTTCGTCTGCTGATGTTATTTTTTCATACTGCTCGTTCCAGGTTATGACTTGCACCATACCTGTGTAGCTGAGATTTTACAGTAAAATTTACCATTATGGCCTTCCAATGTTTGGTTCATTGCCAGATTAGTAGGAGCTGCCAAACCAAGCGTACTATCCTCTTTTTGAGCTTCGAGCTTCAAGACTTTCAGTAGGCCCTCCTCTCCTCCACAAGCAATGTAGCCATGCTCTGTACTCCAGGCCAAAGACTTAAGTTTTTTGTTGTTTGGAATGGCTATCTTGCTCAGAGTCAGGAAAGACAGGCCATTTACCTTTTTACTTAAATAAGCAAACATGCTGAATAAAGACGGCTTTTTGACACGTGCTCTCTGATTGGGCAATACCTGATATTAGTTTACTTTGGTTACTTTTTAAAATAATGACTTGGAAATTCGTAATAGACATTGAAGAGGACAAACAAACAACACACGACACGAAAGTTTAGAAATACTCGTGTTGTAAATAAGTTGACATTTTTCATTTCTCAAATTTATTTGTTTTCGTACATATATTGCACCGAGATATACCTTCTTTTTCGGAATTTTCATCCACCCTGGTTGAACTTTTATCATGAACGCAAACATTCCAGCCCTGAAAAGAATTTTACGTCTGTCGATCAGAGTGCTTGTTCTATCGTAATCAAAAGAAGCTCAGCAGTATATTATGGGAGATTTTAAAGTTCATTCGCCGAATGAAGCAGATGGCTGGCTACTGATTTTGATATACAAGTATGATTCATTCCGTACATAAGTTTCACAATAAATTTTAGGCCATGTAAGTTAGACATGTTAATGAGGGGACAAAACTCAATTAAACGTCGAAATTAAATTTATATTTCCTTCGGTGTTTTGTAGCCGGTTTGCATTTGTTTAAAACGTAAACGAAACTCTCAGTGTACTTCAGTCTACGTAGTTCTGTCACATTCATGGGAATGGAAAAGGAGTCACTGCTAAAACACAGCGCTGGCATATGTAACCGCTACGGTACAGAGGTTTCCAGCATGCTTTCCAACTTATTTATCCAAACCCTCATGTGAGGAGCGAACAGGCACGCGTATTTTCAACCCCGATATCTAATATCCCAATCTGAAACTTCGCGTCAGACTTATAACTTTACTTATGGCGTCTGTCGCGTTCTGTGCTTACTCCACCACTTATCGCCGTTCATTCTCTTTGCATTTCATGCTACAGTTTCAGTCATGGTTAACTGCCATGTCCTATAGCTAGTCGTAGATCGAGCACGATATTAAGTGATTTAGGATGGTAAATAATGACCAGTATCAACTTCGAAATCACTCATAAATGTCTTGAGAATGGGAGGGTTCTCGATTAGAGTACTGGAGTCTCCAATCGCCGAATTGGTATTGCAGTTGCTATCAACGGGATAATTCCGAAGTGACACTATCCTGTGTATTTTCGGACATATGAGTAGCGTAATCACTCCGAAGATGAGTGAAAGATATTAGAAAGGGATTCTTTTGACAGACTAGAACAGAGTTAAGGCTTGTTTTTAAGTAAATGACTGTAAACTCAGACATTTTGGTATTATTACCCACAGTTACGTTTAGGTTTTCTACTACATTGGACCAATTTAATATTTCTCGGCGTTCTGCATTTTGCAGGTTGTATTCTTACTGTCCTCAACTGCGCACGACTGCGCAAATTGCAACTTTCATTCAAATTCAGTAATCAGTTTCCTCTGACGTCATGTGGAGTTGCAGCCTAACTTTTTCTTACTAACCGCTTACTAACAAATTTGAGAGCAAAAATCACTGGACGTCGGATGCTATCTGCTCTTTTACTTGATTATCGTCCTCAAAAATGTCGTCTGCAAAGTATAAGCACGTTGTTTATGCCAGGTCGCTCGATCTGTCCACGTTGTATAACGGCGTTGACTTTCTGATGAAGATCATTTCCCATATTCCCTCCATCGGCAAACCTTTCGTCGGCAATAGTCCCGACATCCTATCGGAGGCTGCAAAGGTATTGACTCGCCTCGTTCATCTGGTTGCCAGTCAAGCCTATGATGGGGAAAATAGAGCCCATAACTTTCTCCTAAAAGAGTGACTTTGCCCGCTCAGATAACCGAGTGTGTTATAGATCTTTTCTAATTATATGACTTTAAAAATATATCGGGGGACGGTATAGCAACAAACTCCGGTAATTAATACTCCGCCCATTTTCGTAAGGCCTTTTTCGTCAGTCAATATTGATTCGGTCTTGACTCCTCGTGAACGAGGTGGTGGGTAAAACTTGGCCGTTGTCACGACTTTAGGCCAATGAATAGAAGAATTGGCTCTTCTTTCAAATGAATCCCCATTTTTTCAGTCAGACATACACAACTGGGGTCGTCGTGTTACTAACTCGGAAAAATCGGTTGATTTTACCGCCCAGGCATTCAGTTCAGTGACCACTCTCACTTTTCGTACTCACTCATGCTGATATTTAACACCTTTAAGTGCTTTTTTATCAGTAGCGTCTACCACAGTCGCTTTTGACTCTGTTATAAACTCAGCAGTATCGTGCACAGTTCCGTCTAGGTTACTTAGAACCGCAAGTTCTTTACTTCAGTTTGGCTATCTGTGCTCTTCTGCTATCTGTTTTAAAACCCACGGTAAGAACATTGTGACTTCAAAACGTAGACTATGAATAAGCACATTAAATGTCAATTGTACAAATAACAGTTTGTGAATTTCAGACGTCCGTTGAAGTATCGCTGATCTAAAGAAGAAAGGGTAGTTGGCCCACAACCATGCCTCGAAGTGCGCTTCTCGTGATCGAGTGAGGTGTTGAGTAGTTGTTACCAACCATGACTCTCCAATAGCGGTTAGGCAGGTAGGACCCGATGAAGTCGACTAGAGGCAGTCGAATGCCGAGAGTTTTCAAACTTATCAAAAGCCGTCTATGTGGCACTTCGTCAAAGGTTTAATTAAGGTCAGGTTAGTTTTGTTTTGATCGGTTTGGCGAGCGTCTGACCGAGAAAAGCAAGAACTAATTTCAGGAGAGGCACACAGTTGTCCTCTCCCTGGGGGTTAGATAATGACAAAAGAATATTTTGCGTCGTACAGGTATGTAGAAACACGTTCTCCGTGGGCAAATATTGAATCAGCCTTGACTGGCGAAAACAGCTTGACTAAAATAGGCGGATATTTACCATGACATTACAGTCGTTGGCATCCGCCATCTCATAGTTATATTCACATAAGTCTAGGATCTCAACCACAACATCAAGTTACTGATCGGACAAGGAAAAAAATTTCAATAAGAAGCTATTAGTTTTTTGTCTATCGCATGTTTAATTATCAACCAAATGATCAAGTGAGGAAAACGTTGACATTCTTGTGGGGGAACATCGGAGATGGTTCCATCAAACACCGATATAAATTTAAGACAAGATACGCCATGCTCGAAGTACGGGCCCACTTCTTCTCTCACCGGATGATTAATGTTTGGAATAAACTACCGAATTCGGTTGTGCTGGTGGAAAGTGCTTTTACATTTAAATGAAGACTTGATAGTATTTTATATGATGTCCATATATTTACTTGATGAAAACTGATAAAATGTACCGCATATCTGCATACACATATAAACATTTTTTCACTCTTTATTTCTACATAGGGTTTTCAAAGGCTCTTACTTTCCCCCTTATATAAACTGAATATTGAAAACAATTTTGCCACTGTTAAGAGCATAGTTACAAACTTCAGTACTAGATTACTGTGGTTGTGTAACGCACGAAGATAGATAGATAGATAGATAGATAATATTTATTAAAGACCCGTCGGGGTCCTATCAAAGCAAGTTAAAATAAATTTACATGTGAGTTTTAGACGAGGCAGGCCGAATCTTCACAAAATGCAATTCATAGTTTCTGAATTAGTAGTCCATTGATAAATATAACAAGCTGCCTATAAGTAACAAATGGTGGCGAACGACCATTTATGCTTTCTGGCCTAGATTTACTTAAGCCACGCCGACCTGTGGCTTTTGCTCCCATCTTATCTCGAGGTAAACCTTAATTGGCCGAAAACCTATAGCATATCATGTTAACTAATCTCAGCGAGAATTTCACGGTGTAAAAATGTACATTGTTGAAGACAGTTAGGATGCACAAAATACGGATTGCAGAATGCGATGAGTAATCAGCAGGCACAGTCAAAGTAAAATGGTAACTGACAATTCTAAAAGCATAGACGTGTATGAAAGGAAATTCATTCAAATATTAGGGGCTAAATGCGTTTCTGTTTCTCAAAAAATTGTTTTATATAATATCGTTGACTTATGTTCGACTGTGAAACTCGCAGCCTGACAGGAGGAGTTGGGATTAATGTTTGGTGCAGGTTATTCAATTTTTCCACTACACGGTCTATCAAAAATATTTTCTCTAATCCAATCTCCCTTGCGCACACGCTGTTTGAAGGAATGCCCGGGGGTTGGTTGTAATGGCGAGTTGAAATAAGTCTCCACGTTGGGGAGCAAAGTCTAAACTAAATACGGTACGTAAAACATGAATGGAGTCTCCGCGCAACTGCCTTGACCGCGGTGAGAGGGATTTAAGTCCTACGCACTAGCCTTGTATGGCAGGGCTACTTGAAATCTTAATAGTTTCGTGGTTTTTTCTGCACTTTTTAAATACATTATAGTCAGGTTGCGTCTGGTGTCCCCAGGCTTGTGTGGCGTATTTAAGATGCTACCTTATAAACTTACCAAAGACTTTGGGGGAGATGTCTTCATAGAAAACTACGGATGACCGCTTGATGAGGGAGAACATTGAGGTTGCGAAATTTGTCGCTTTACAACAGTACGTAGAAGGCTTTAGAACGTTTGGCATCCTGACGTCGAGATCTTCCTCTATTTCGGCTTCTCGCAGTTGTTATCCATCTAAATGGTACGTGCACATATCAGGGACCTGATTCTGACTTCCGATGCGCAACGTGGCCCACGTGCCCTTATTGGATGGCAAGAGTCATCTGCGAGACTACACTGCTAAACGACGAAGATTTTCCTTGGAGTTCGCCCCTTCGATAGCACAATGGGGAACGTTCCAGATTTTTATGCCATCCGCAAACATGGTAAACTCACAGTCCAATTCTTATGTACAATCATTAATAAATAAAATGCACGGTCCCAGCATTGAGCATTATAGGACTCCGCTTCTTCAGGTGCACTCATGCAGCATCAATGTCGGGTACTCGCCTGAGATTCATTGGACTGTACCCTAGGTCACGTTTCAGCCATTTTTAATGCTCTGTAAAGATCATAAATTTCCGTTCTTCTTTGCAGGCCTCATCATT